TATGATTAATAAGCAATTATAACTTTTATTTCACATGGCTTTGGAGTTGCTCCAAATATTATTTAAACAAAAAGTATCTAACAAGGAATAGATCTATCAAACATTTGATTGTTTTCGACTTGAGACTTTAATATAAGTAGCATTGTGTAATGAAAATTCAAGATAAATAGCTAAGATAAATATTGGTTTTAATTCTTTGCATAGATTTGTTATTTCTAAAGTTTAATTGAATGTGATATGTTGGAGTTTAATCAAACGTAGATAAATTTAGTAATGTATTATTTTTTGTATGCATGTAATGTAATTAAAAATGAAGTTTGGTCTTTAGTGGAGAGAAAGGCATAATTATAGTTTTTTTGTATTTTTTTGAAGTTATATTTCACAATAGCAATAGATATATGCCAAAAGTTTTTATTTTTTATACCTTGCATATCTATGTAATGTGTTTGAGTTTTTGTCAAAGAATTTGTTAATAAAAGTATAAAATAAGAATAAGTTTACAATATAACTTAAAAAAAATAAAAAATAAAAAAATTAACAAAAATTCAAAGATTTCAAAAACTATGTTGTCCATTCTTTTAAAATCATGTTATTAAGCTTTGCATTACAGAGTGAGTGTATTTCTAGATATTTCAAAAGATTCAAAAATTTATATATATTTGTATTGCATTATATTTTAGAATTTTTATTATATTTTGTATTGTAGTATATTATACAAAAAATTATACAAATTTTTTTTGTATAATTTTTGAAATACACAAAAAATTCATTATATTTTATATTATATAGTGAGTGTATTTCTAGAAATTTGAGAGTGAATATATTAAGGTGAAATAATTTGAATGTTGTCTACTCTATCATTTTGAGAGTTAATTATTTAGATTTAGAATCAATTTATGAGAAATCAAATAAAAGCTGATTGTTAAAAGTCATTATGACATTATATATTACCATGACATTGTGGAAAATTTGAAAATTATTCAATTCTTAATTTAAGATATTTTATTTGGGGTATTCAAAGTAGCTTCAAATTATATATCTTTTTGTGTCAATTGACTTATATGAAAAGTGTAAAGTTAGTGGCTTTTCAAGGAATAAGAATAAGTTTTACCATTTGAAACTTACAATTTATCAATCGTTAGAGACAAAAAGACTCAATAGTTGAAAAGGAAGGTTTTTTTATTTTATTTTATTTTTTATTCATTTTAATTTCTATATTGTTCCTATAGAATTGATTGTAAGCTAAAGAAATTCATTGTCTTGTTGTTGTAAGCAACAGACTATTATTTAAAAGTGGAGTAATTAATTTTATTGAGAGTAGGCCAATGCAAGAGACATCATGAAATTCATTCAAATTTAAAGATACTTTTATTAGCCTTGATAATAATATAGTGAAGTGCAATAGAATAAGGAATTATTTGAAATTATACAAAGGAGTTATGGTAAAGAAAGTGATGTTTTCTAGCTTGAATTCAATCAAGTATATTTGAGTAGACTACATTCATACTATTTAGATATTACTTTTACAAAGGCAAACTGATTTCCAAACTTCCACATATTTCCAAATTATTATAAATTATTCTTTGAGAACCATAAAATCTTAATTATTTATTACTAATTTATTTTCTATGGATAAAAAGACTCTCAATAAATAAATAAATATATATATATATATATATTAATTTTAATAGTCTTATAGTTTATATTTTTATAATGTTATAGTTTTATCAAATATCTATATAATTTCATGACTTTATATTTATAGATTGAATTTATGTAATGAAGTGGTTAATTAAAGACATTGTAATAAATTACTTCATATCTTTTAAATTTGACTTTAATACATCTTTGAATATTTTAACATACTTTTATGATTTTTTAATATAATTGAATGTTTTCACAAGTAGTTCTTTGAATAAAATTAACTACTTTTTTTGCATATTATCCGTGATAAAAGCACATGTTTAGCTATCCTACTTTATAGTTGAAAGCTCTATTGTGAATTTTATTTCTTTCTTTTCTAAAAAAAAAAAATTAAACATATTCATTGATTACAAACATATATTTCAAAAAAATACTTTATTTGAGTCACACTTTTCATGACAACAACACGGATTCATCTAGTTTTATTTGATTTATAGAAAAAAACCAAGTAGCCACAAATGTCCTTAATTTGATATAAATACAATGATAAAAGACCTTAATAGTATAAATATATATAGATATATAGATGTGTGTAGATGCTTTGAATAAAAAAATATTATTCATCTTTCTTTTCTTATTCATTAAAGTCATTTTTTAATTTTTAGACTTAATGGAAATTTAAAGAAACATATATGTTTTGACTTTAGGCATAATATATATTTTTCTTGAAAATTAATTTAATCCACATTATATTTGTATGAATATTATAAAAAATATTAATATAAATTTTATCAATATAAAATTTTAGAATATATTAATATACATAAAATTATTAATAAATTTATTAACTAATTTTAACATTCACATTATATTTTTTACCAACATCAAAAACATAGCTTTTAAAACGCACTAGAAACTAATACTTTTCATAAAGCCTTCTACTAATTTGTAGCGATGTAGTGCAATTGGCTACAACAAAATTTAAAAACCATATAACACTATTGTAAAGAAAGAGTTTGCTTGAGAAAATACTAGATTTTTTATTGCTATTGATTGCTCTACTATCATGTAATTTTAAAACATGCATAACACTCCATAAATAAGACTCTTTTGTAATTCACTTGCCCTCATATCAACAATTTCTACTATCATTAAACATTTGTAAAACAAAAACATGAGATAGCTAAACATCTTTGGAGAGTCTTTATATCTCTCTTCAAAGAGGATTGCCACTCTTTCAGAACTCTAAATCCTACTCCAAATCTTAAATCTTAAATCCTACTATCAACTCTACACCTTAAATCTTACTCTCAAATTCTAATTCTTTTATTTTATTTGAGTTTGTATATATGTATAAATATTATTTTTTAAAAAAAGAGAAAAAAATTGAATTAAAGATTACAAAAAGATTGATGCCATCTCTCTTTAAGCCACCACCAACTTATAGTTTTTTTTTTTTTTAGGAGAAACTTTATACTAATGTATCAAGAAGACAAATATATAGAACGTATAGACATCATACATCATGCTATTATTAAGGATGATTCTTTGCTCCCACCCATAGGCAACGAGTATCCTTGTCACTCAACATCAAATAAATCTCGTAATGCAAGCATTCTAGAGCCAATCTTTTGGATATCTTCAATAAATTAATTGTGGATTTTTAGAGAATATACTTTCTTTTCTTTTTTGCAATATATCACTATGGAATTTTGAATCGGAGACCTTCTAGGTGCCACCTGAGCACCTTATCATCCATCTACCTATATAAGCCCCAAACCACCACTTGATGTCTAAAGCCTCAATTCTTTTGTTATAAGCTTGCTACTCGATGTCTTCTCCTTCTTTAAATCTCCATTTCTTACAAATTATAACTTTTTTTTTATAAAATTTTTATGCCTATTTATAGATATATTAAAAAAATATCTATAAAATTTTACATTTAATGGACACTCTAATAATTAATTATCTTATAACCTATTTTTTCTTTGTATAGACTTAGTTTTTTTTTTAAAAAAACTACAATTTTTCTTCTTAATAGGATAATATTCTAAATATATCTTTATTATGCTTATTAATAAAATCCATATATATATATATAATATAAAAATATTACATTAATACAATATAGATACTAAAAGACAAATATGAAATTAAACACATTTTTGCTATTTTTTGTTTCTGAAAAGCAATAGAGAAGATTGAATCTACAATTTTTGAATCTAATTTTAGAATGAAAGTAGGAATGTAGCATGAGATTTGGACAAATAAGAAACGATATTTAAATTTGAACATTCGAAATTATTCAGTAGCATATCTTTGCAGTTTATCTAAAAAGCAATTGCCTCGGAGTATTTTTAAACTTTTTTATTTTACCATCTTGGTAAAATTAATTTTTTTGGCAAGCATGTAAACATTACAAGAAGTTACTAAAGTGAATTTTTTCAATTAAACTTTGATATCTTCTAAGCTACTTATATTGTACACTTTTTAAAACAAATGTTTATTTTAAACGGGAATTGGACAAGCCTGTTTCATTATCTTATGAAATGAAGCAAGTGATATTAAAAGAATAGATCTAAAAACCCAAACAAAGTTGATTTTATTAGAGATTTATGATATATCTGAAAATCTGCTGAAAATATCACAGAATAATATATCCAGTTTTGGCCCATGCATGTTAAAAAATTCAGGATTAGAACATCCTTTTCTTTAGCGAGCTAGAGTACTTTCTAAAATTTAATATCTCGAAATCATTATTTTTAATTTTTTTTTTCTGAAAACATATTTAAAAATCTGTCCTGTAACTTGTTTAATAGGCATTATACTTAAAAACCCTCCATGCTAGTGCCAAACACATTGAAATTCAACATCACATATTTATAATCAGATTAAAATCAGAGATATTAAAATTGGATTTTCGAGAAATAAAAATAAAAAAATTTATGCCATGCTACAATGTTTTATGCATTTTTTTACAATATATTGTAAACAAGAAAAAAAGTGGGGGGGTCTTGTAAAGCTGTATTGAAGCATCTTCAGAGACTGCTGGTCGGCGACCGAGGTAAAGAACCGGGGCAACCATAATCTACGTGGCAAAAAGGGACCTGAAGCGGAAAAGGGGTGGGCCAATACGAGAGGGCGGATGACGAGATTCCTGGACAAGAGTCAGTGTCGTCCACGTCAGCAAAATGACCCACACGCAAAATGTCGACGTGGCAGAAACCGCCAAGTAGTTAGACGTCGGCTGACGCACTTGGCAGGGACCCGCGTCGGGAGGGGGGAGGGGGAGCTGCTGGGTCCTGGTCGCGGAGCACAACAGTGAGTGGGCCACACTCTCGTCATGCTAGGAATGAAGCTGACTGACTGATGCAACCCGACGTCGTGCCCATGCTTCGGCCCGTCTAACTCCCGCGTGTACATTCGATCAACTTTTTCCACTTGGACGGGAACTGGATCAGGGGTTCCAGGGAGTCCTCTGCCGTCTATTTCCGCACTTTGTTCGTGTCTGTGCCTGTTTTAGTGCTTATTTCAGCCTTCATGGTTTGTTTTTAGGAGGAGGGTCGTGTGCTGCGAGCTAGTTCTAATCCCTGGGAAGAGAGAGAAAGACGGGAGGATTGAGAACTGGTGTAACTGGAGGCAAGCTGTTGGATTTTGCTTAGTTTGGGTAAGTAGAGGGTTAGGGTGGGGCACATTGACTTGATTTTTATGACTTTTGTAAGATTTTTTTTTTTTTTTTTTTTTTTTTTTTTGTAAGTTTTGATATCTGTAGGAGAGTGTTTAAATTCGGGTATTCCGGCGGTTGAGACATTGGGTTTGTGTATGTTATGGAGTGGTTTGGTGAGGTTGTGGATTTATCAGGGGCATTGAGGGACGGGATGGGGACGAGGGAGAGCTATGCGCGTGGGTTGGTTGCCCTGGCGATGTTGCTGTTGGTTGTGCCAGTATGGAGTGTGTTCTTGGTGGAGGAGTCAGCTTTGACGGTGACGTCGCCGGAGAGCCTGCAGGGGACGCATCAGAGCGCTATTGGCAACTTCGGAATACCGCAGTATGGCGGCACTTTGAGCGGCACTGTAATGTACCCAAGCGTGAATGCAAAGGCTTGCGAGAAATTTTCTATCGATCAGTTTAAAACGCTAGCAGGGCAGCGCCCCATCTTCGCACTGGTTGATCGTGGTGGTAATGTCACCATCCCCTGTCGTGACATTTGCAGAATTTGACACTCAAGAAGTCTATCACAGCTCACGTATACGTTTTTGAGAGGGCATTGAATTTTGATTTTCGTGCTCTCCCTCGTTTGACATTAGAAACCACCTGTTGTTTAGTGTGTGTGCATCATGTGAGTTATGCCGCTAGGTTTATACTCCCCACCTGGTAACGTGTATAGAATGCGAAATGTTGCTTGACACAGACAACTATTGCTGAAGACGAATACTGCACAATAACCTAACCCTGTTTTCATGCCAGCCCTCTGAACTGATTCTTCAACGTTTGAGCCGACACTGGAAGTAAAAGAATTTAGTGGAAGTAAGTCAGGTTCAGAAACTGAGGCATAGTTCACAGTTAACTTAGCGTCCAATTTCCGACATCGATTCGATGGAGGTGGACTCGACAGGTTGGTCTCATTTGCACCTCTGCAGAGCCAGCACGGATACGCTCTACCATATCTGTTTCACTAAAACATACATGCTAGATCATGTTGAAGCTTGTCACATTGCTTATGTACTCAAATGATACTGTCATACCTGTATGTTACCCCCAAACTTCATCTCATTCTATTTGTCTCGACAAATAAGTAATCGACTAGTAAGCAAAGACAAATATAACCCTGCAAATAAGAAAACTAAAGAGCTAGAAAAGAGCGTTCTTTTCTCAGCTACGAAAATGCTTGATTACTATTATCATCATATGCGTGCTTGCTGCTGTAAACGCTGTGGTGTATTGACCTGGGAGATGCAATTTGTTTGCGTGCAGATTGTTACTTCGCTACCAAGGTGTGGTTCGCGCAGCAGGCCGGCGCAGCAGCTGTTCTGGTGGCAGACAACAAGCAGGAGATGCTGGTGACGATGGATTCTCCAGAGGAGGATCCCGTGGCTTCCCAGTTCATTCAGAACATCACGATCCCATCCGCCCTGATCACCAAGGATTTTGGGGACAGTCTGAAGAAGGCATTGAGCAACAAGGAGATGGTATCGATCAAGATCGATTGGCGGGAGTCGCTTCCGCATCCGGACAAGCGCGTGGAGTACGAGTTCTGGACGAACAGCAACGACGAGTGCGGGCCGAAGTGCGAAGCGCAGGTGGAGTTTGTGCGGAACTACAAGGGAGTGGCCCAGATTCTGGAGCAGGGCGGGTACACGCAGTTCACGCCTCACTACATCACGTGGTATTGTCCACAGGTAAGAGAGTGTGGTGCGGAGGGGAGGGAGAGAGGGAGAGGGGGGGAGAGCGCGGTGGTTGATACAGGAGGGATGGCAAGGAGATTGGAGTGCGAGAGAGGAGGATTGGCGTGGAGTGAGAGGGGTGTGGGATTGGAAGGAGTGGCTTGTGTGGAGAGGAGAGGCAGGATGTGGGAAGAGTGGGAGGTGAGCAAGTGTGGGTGGTGTTGCGTGGTCAGGCTTTCATCGAGAGCAAGCAGTGCAAGTCGCAGTGCATCAACAACGGGCGGTACTGTGCCCCGGATCCAGAGCAGGACTTTTCGGTGGGGTACGACGGGAAGGAGGTGGTGATCGAGAACCTGCGACAGCTGTGCGTGTTCAAGGTGACGAGCGACAGCGGAAAGCCATGGAAGTGGTGGGACTTTGTGACGGACTTCCAGATCCGGTGCCCAATGAAGGAGAAGAAGTACGGGCCGGAGTGCGCGGAGGAAGTGATAAAGTCGCTGTGTAAGTGAGGTGGGAGGGGACGGTGGCGGATGGTTGGTTTGTTGGTTGGATGCATGGGTTGGGCATAGACGTGGTCATGAGGGGGAGTCGGGATGGAGGGGTGCGTGCGTGAGAGTGGATGTAAGAGGTGCTGAGTCGTGGTATGTTGGACGCAGCCATCGACGTGGGCGCGGTGCAGAAGTGCATGGGGGATCCGAACGCGGACGAAGACCACCCGATACTGAAGCACGAGCAGGATGCACAGGTGCGGTTTGAGGAGGTAGAAAGAGAGGGTTGAAGGGCGGCAGGGAGTGTGGCAGGTTTGGGGGTGTTGGACGTAGACACAGGCCGTGGTTGTGGTGATGGGGGGTAGGATGCGGGTGGTGTATGTAGGGGTGAATTGCAGCGGATGAGATCTTGAGGATGTGATGGGTGGGTGGGTGATACGGTGGGCAGGTGGGAGAAGGCGATCGAGGCGATGTGACGATATTGCCAACGCTGATAATCAACAACAGGCAATACCGAGGTAGGTAGGGGAGCGGAGTGAGATGCTTGTGTGGGCGAGGGTGAGAGGTGGAAGCGTGGGAATGTGAGGGGATGGTGTGGTAGAGGGGTGGTAATGCGGTGATGGGCGAAGGGAGGTGGTGATGGTTGGTTGAGGTAGAGTCGGATAAAGTAGGTTGATTGACGATGGCATGGTGACGGAGCGTGGTGGGATGGGGGTGGTGCAGGGAAGTTGGACAAGTCAGCAGTGATGAAGGCGATCTGCAGCGGGTTTGAGGAAACGTCGGATCCGCCGGTGTGCTTGAGCGACACACTGCAGACAAACGAGTGCTTGCAGAACAACGGCGGGTGCTGGAGCAGCGGGGAGTTGACTGCATGCCAGGTAATGCAGTTGGTGGTGGGATGCAAGCGGTGGGGTGGGTAGGGGGAGTGGGATGGACATGGGAACGGTGGTGTGTGGAGTGTTTGTGTGGAGAGACGACAGGGTGGAAGGGTGGAAGTGGGGAGAGCGGAGGCGAGGGTGGGTTGACGTAGAGTGGATGGGTGTGCGTGGGTTGTGCAGGATACGTTTCGCGGTCGGGTATGTCAGTGTCCGCTGGTGAAGGGCGTGCAGTTCGATGGCGATGGGTACACGCATTGTGAAGGTAGGAAGCAGAGTGGGAAGTTGGAGTTTTGAGGTGGGTGTGGGGCAATGTTAGGAGCGGTTTGAGTAGTGGTGGCGGCGTCGTTGGTGAGAAGTAGAGACGTTGTTATGGTTTGGATGAGGAGGGGGTTAGATGTGAAGATGCGTGAGCGCTGATGTGGTGGTGCTGTGAAGCAGCGAAGGGACCGTTCATTGACGCCTGGCCATAAATCATGGCTAGTGCTCT